CCAGAAAAATGCTGCCTTTTAACTTCCTCGTCAACGTATGGTTTGAAGTTATAATCAGTAGGAAACAAAATGTCTGCGCAGCTTCCAGCATCTAGAAATAACACAACAGAGGTATTTGATTTTATTTTCATTTATAAAGGTTTTCTTAATACCTTAATCAAACTTAAAGTTAACTGCCCTACACCTTCCAGGGATGATGAAACAAGTCTTGCTTCATTCACTGCGCTGCCCGCTGTGTTGTGGCAATAAACAAGTTCATAACACAAAAACGAAAAAACTCAAAGTTCTGTGTATTTTGAACAAAAAAATAAAAAAGAGATAACACTTAGCGAGTTAACCGGGTTATTTCTAATCTGTCGATTGAAGTTAAACGGTTTTACCGAAACATCGTGATGAGGCCGCTTTTTTGGCGTTTTATCGAACTGAAACTGGGTTAACAGTAACCATAGAAATTCACTAAAGAACACTAAATTTTATAACCGAGTTTGGTTAATGTTAAACTACCTTTCTGCGTAGTTAAACTCAGGTTAGTGGTCTCTTACCAGTGTCGTGCATTGTTCTTGTCACAAAATGTTTCAGTCATCGTGGTGTGTGTGGGGAATGTTGTTTTACGTAACACAAACAAGTGCATAAGCTTCTGAACATGGCGTCTGGTAAACAACAGCCACAACAAGATACCTTATTTAAGCGCAACAATCAGCTTTCCACATAATTCTCTATCGGTAAACAGCCGCTCAGAAGCGAGAGTCATAAACATAAATAGTGACAGAATACGGCTGAGTGCTTGAAAGGACTCGATGATTATACGAAAGGGCTCTCCACAAAAGCCACGCATGGCAGGATTAGTGCTTTCCTCAAGCTATCGCTGATTTATCGGAAAGACCCAATATCAGGGACGATTCAATCGACAGCGATGAAGAATAATGTAATTTGTGTAAATAAGAATTAACATCAATGATTATTTTGCCGGCACGGAACGGTGAACTGGGTTCTGGTGCAGCGCGCGTGGGAGCGGGGGTTTGAAATAGTGACCGGTTAGTTGTGCGTGTCATTCTACGGTCGGCCTCACCGCGTCATCTTGCTCTGTTTAGTTTAGTTTTCACTAACTCTGTTAGCCTTAGTTTTCATTAGTTTTGCCTTATAACCCCAAAGGCGACGCCATGGCATGGGTTGGGGTTACACGGTCCCTATTTTTCCAATATTTGTTTTTTTCGGGTTTACGTGTCCGGTCGTGGCGTGTTCTTAGAATTACTGTAAATAAGGTCGTTTAAGTTTATTTCGAAACAACTACCTGCAGCAATTAGTGCTGAATTGCG